AGAGCCAAACCTCCAAATGATGCCTTTTCAATAAGCACAATATGGGGATTGATAAAATAGTATAGTGGCTAGATTATTAGTGGCATGCTTAGGGTTTAAAACAGTAATCTAGGGAATTTTTTGCATAGCTAACTCAACAAATCGCAATAAATAGTTATGATTGTGGAAAAATAAAGCAGTATGCCAATCATATAGATGATGAATTATCAAGATAGTATGCTTTATAAATGATTTGAGAAAATATGTACGGACAATATTCAGGATATGATGAAGTATTGCTATGGAAATTTTCAGAATATTCTAAGATGAGAATCAAGGAGGATATACCAAATTATCTACAAATAGCCCTGAATAAACAAATTTTATCTTAATAAAATGCATCAAAACCAACTTTTGTTGCCTCCGCATTCATAATTTATGAAATGATAATATGTAATCTAAGTGAAGCTAAGTTAACGTGTTAATGCTTTTTAATGCACGAAGCATTTAAAGGCTAATGGGCTTTGAAAACCAATTGGTTGACAGCTTAATGCTCAACCAGTAATAGTAGTGAAAAATACCACCAGAGATAGCAATTTAATAATCAGGTTAAGAATTGTATAAAAACTGGGTTTCGAAGAATTCCTTAATATATTGATATTAGAGTAACTTTCATTTAATTTGAAGAGGCGAGCGGAACGGATTCGCAAGTTAATTCAACCGGAAGCTGTAGGGGGATTGCCTTGGAGTTGTGATTGTAGATTTGGGCAAATAGGTCCTCGCCGCACTGCCCTGCGACCCCGATGAATCCTTGTTGAGCTTTGTCCGTCATATGACGGACATCGTCAGAGCAAGACATCGTGCTTATGATAATTGATAAGACAAGAAAGCAGGCCACTTTTCTTGCTTTGGTGTTTTTTTGATTAAGTATCGTTAAGTGTGGTGTCCTGATCTGACAGACGAAAACTCAGCATAATTCATCGAGGTCGCCTGGCGATTCGTCGAGGACCTATAAGTACAAATCTACAATCACGGCTTCAAGGAAATTCCCTTACGGCTAAAACAACTTACGAATTCCTTCCACTAGCCTCTTCAAACAAAATGAATGGTACTCCAATACCTAAACATTGTTTGAAAAAGATATTGTCAAGAGTCAGAAAAAAAATATCATGAATCCTCAAACAAGCGTAATTATTATGAGTAATACTAAAGTTTTTATTAATATTATGTTAAAGCTAAGACAAATCTCAAGTTAAGAAAATTTTTAGTTGGCAGTTATGCTCCAAACTAAAATGTTGTCCGAAGTATCGAAGCAACAAACGCAAAGCATATTATGACTTACTTCAACTAGTGCACTGAGGCCGTCGAACCAATCATGTTCGTCTAGAGAATAGCTAACTTTATCTTCAAAAATTTCTTCAGAGCTAGATTGATTTGTTATAGCATCCTCATCGACATTTAACGTTCGCTCAGCCTTGGTCGCATCACTTTCACCAGGTAAGCGGACAAATACTAGTTTGGTCTTCTTCAAAACACGGTAATATTGAATATTGGTTTGCTGCCTGAGATTTTTAAGAGTTACTACGGTGCCAACATTTGTAGAACCAGGGGCAGAAGAATCCTGAGTCACGGAAGTATGGCTCTCTCCTGGCAAAGGGGGACCAACAAGGCAAAGGGTATAGTCGCCAAGAAATTTATCAGAACTTCTGATAAGGAAGCTGCCAACCGGACGACCAGACAGTATTCGTTGGACTTCTGTGCGAGACATGCGGCCATGGTACCACCTATAAAATCCCGTAAAGGAGTAAGGTGTAAAATATTATCGCATAAATAAAAAATAATATATGATAACAGAGAAATCTACAAAGGGAAACCAGGATTATAAATGAGACTTACGTAGAGTCATAAGGATCATCTGCCCTTTCCTTACGATATTCTCTCACATAACTCAATGGAATAAGTCCTGTTGAGCCAGTGCTATTCCTAGCATGCGCCCAGTTTGGATCCTAGACTTGAAACTAAAAAATAGATTATACTTTGGATATAGCAATTATTTCAAGGATATCTTTTCGGAAAAAAGAAAGGTCCTCATTTTTGTAGCCGCTAAACTGAAACAGTCCAACGACTTTACTGCCCGGGCTGAAGCGCGGCATTTTTTAATCTAAATGGAATCCAACGCTTAAGGAATAGGCATCATGAGAATCGAGGTGGAAAAAAGGGCCGCCGTGGCAAGTCACAAGTTCATCGAATCAAACGAAGAAGAATAGACTGTTAGGACATTAAGGTAATAATAGCAATAATAATATAATTTATAAGTAATAAATTACAAATAAATAAATTAATTAATTAATTTATAATTTTTTGGTACTGACTGCAAAACTCATAAAGTACATAATCTTAATGGATACTTTTAATGAGTTTAACTACGATGGTATTATGATACCTTCACTTCGCTTGATGAGACGAGTCAGAGGGATTCGTACATTGATCTTACCGGATGCTGAAAGGCTAGTTATATTGAGAAAATAATCCTTTCCTCGGCAATGTCTCCTTATCGAGAATATTCTAACCCTCTTTTCAGGTCGGCTCGATAAAAAATTTATACGGTAGCATCTATATCAGAGGGTTTGGTAGGCTCATAAATAAAAGGTTATCTGAACCCCAAACCGCCTGCAGGAGTTTATAGGTAAAAATCGAGATTAGTCCAACACATGTCTTGCACAGGACTGCTCCTTGGCTGGTATAATGCCAAATACTAAACCGGATATGAAAAATATATCAGCGAGTGAAGAATGAAGAAATCTATCGAAGTCAATTAAACAGTCAAAACTCTGACTAGAAGGAACGATTGTATGGAATTATGTGTAAACTAATTGTGGCTCCTAGATATGCTTAGAGAAAAATAGAGAGAAGGAACGACAAATCACCGAACAATAGAACAAGGTTTGTTTAAACTCGAGCCCAGTTTTTACTCTTACATCTTAGGCAATTTAAGAGCAATGTAAGCACAAAGCACACGTGCAATATAACGCAATCACATGCCTCAATATTGCAGGGTCAAAAATATGAATGATCTGAGGGAGAATGCAGCTGTTCAATCACACTTGCGACTGTTTCACGTCTTGTATGCAGCAAATTTCCATGCCATCTGTAACTAGTACACTTATTAGCAAACATTTAGGACAAGCATAGGATATCCACACAAATTATGAGATGTCTCAATTCAGTGAACCTAGTTAGACCCTGAAAAGTAGGTAGAATTGCAGCCAGCCAGCTTTCATGTCTTCGTATTTTTGTGGATTATCATTAATCATGGTGTACTAAAATGACGATGTCCGTCACACGACGGAAGAGAGCTCAGCAAGGCTTCATCTTGGTCACAAATCGGTGTGCCGATGACCTATTCGCACAAATCTACAGTCACAGCTTTAAAAGAATCTTCCTATAGCTTTCGATGAGGCCAACTTTAGGATCTCTTGCACTGACCTCTTAACACGAAGCGAACTTACTGACAATACCGACTACGATGCCAGCGAAAGGTCTGAGAATGTATCAAGGAGACGAAATTTACTTCACAATCTAGATATTAAGGGATTTTTCGAAAACGAGTTCTTCTATCTACAGACGGCGTATTATGATTCTCTAAAAGATGGCCTAATCGGGGAAAATGTTAGTCTTCTTTTAAACGTTTTATATTTTTCGAAAGCTAGCAGGACGTTAACATCAGGGAACTGATCGGGGATTTGTCTAAGATTCCGTTTAGTAATAAATAGTGGTTCCATTTTACCCATTTTCTTAGTAATTCGAAATTGTTAAAAATTGATCCTAA